ATTTGTTTACTTATGTATTATGTTATTTTAACATTAATTAAGAAATGTTAAATATCAATATTCAAATAACGTATTATAATATTTTATTACATTAACACTCAGGTCAACTCTATGTTTAAATATTTTAACAAGGACTGATTTTATCACATGTAGAAAATGTTTTTTACGTACAATATCAAATAAGGTTTCGAGTAACAGTTCAATCGCAAATTGAAAATGAAATTTATACTGTTCAGATGTTAGAATTTAGCGATTTCAATGCCCGATGAAGGCTTCTATTCGATGTCTTTTAAGATAAAGAAAAATATAGATGTAACTTAAAGTTCATTTTTTATTAAGAAAGATTAATTTAAATTTAAATAAATTAAATTAAATTGTATAAATCTTGTTTTTTGGCAAAATTAATCAAAATTATTAATATAATACAAATAAATAATAAATTACTTAACTTATAAGGATTAACTGATATTAAGGTAAGAAATCGAAAATTAATTAATTTATCAAATTCAACTTAATATTGCTAAATTTATTGTAATTATGTGTTTAAAGAATATGAAGAAAATTGTATCAAGTACAGATAGAACGACATTCGACAGACGTCCGGAACAGCATGAGAGGGCATTCGCTACGCTCTCTCGTGCCGCGATTTGTCCGCTCAATTTCACGGTCCTTTCGGGAAAAATGGGAAAATCTCTCCTCTTGGCCATGGCAACGAGTGTGGGAAATAGACCGCGTTATTCTCCCGCGGTTGACTCTGCGACACGCCCATGGCGAACGCGCGGATTAAAACGTTCCTTTCAGTCTTATGCTCGCCGCGCTGGTAATGAACGGTTTAATGCTAGCGAATAATCATAGGGGACTGTAGTTTAATTCAATTACATTATATTTGAGTTGATGGGAAAAACACAAATAAAATACGTGTGCACGCGTGCGAGACGTAATATAAAATTAGATTAATAACAAAATAAAATAATTTTAAATTTTTCAATGTGTGTGTTTGTAGAATTATGATATTAAAATGACAACATATAGCTCGGTTTATATTAGATATTTTTACAATATTTTTCTCAAATGGTATTTTAATAATATTATTCTTAAATGAGGAAATATATTACATTATGCGATTTATTTAATAGAGTAAACAATATATTCTTATTTCTAAAATAACTTTTTAAAATAAATTTTGATTCTTTTTTAGATGATAATATTTGATTTTACATTTATTTAGGTCTATCTATATTTGTGCATATCATGTATAACTAAGTATAGCTGAATTTTCGAATATATTTATATAGTAATTACTTATTTTTTATTACCTTCAATATCTTCTTTGGAAATATACAGTTTTTGAAAGTATCAATGTTTTGCAAAAAGGTGATACAGATTTCTTTTTTTAATAAATGAATTTCCTCGAGATATCCCATGATTTATTGGAGTTTTAATGCTTTAGATATTAAAAGAATTTAAATATTTTAACTTTAAATATTAAAAATGCTACATTATAAAAAGATCGAGTCTTAAAAACACATTTATTCCCCTTATCTTGGATAGATCTGCAGAGTGCCCTCAATCGACTAATCTGTTCTTTGCGATGGCAATCGAAGCCACTGTCACCGCCGCAATTTCTGGATAGCCTTCCGGAACGCGTCCGCGGCACGATTATTAGTTTTCCGCTTCTTCCGGAAGCCGTCGGCTCGTTCTCATCGACCGCAAAGGACGTGGTAACGTCGCCGTCCACAGCTCATCGTACGTTACCACGCTGTATAGGGGAGAGTTGCTCTTTCCGTGTCCTCCGGGTAGGCGTGGCGGCGTCGGGAGAGATGATTTATCCCTCGCGCGAGGCGCAGTAACTGCCGAGATCGCTGGCTAAACGACCGCGCCGGTCCTTTTCGTGTATTAACCGTAATGCACTCTGCCTTGCTATTGTGTACACTGTATACGATCCCGATCCCTCCCTCCTTCCCCTTTTGCTCCTATGAAGTCCCTTCAACCCCCTTTTCAACCACCACTGACGATCTTTCGTGTTTTTCCACTTCTCATCATCTTCTTCTATATCATTTTAATATTCTTGTAAAATTTTTCCAGTATTTGTAAAAGAAATTTTTGATTGTCGTAAAAAATACAAAAATGTTACTTTATTGAGATTATCTCTGTCGTAGCTTGTTTTATGTTGTTGCTCTTTGCTTTTAAGGCTAAATTGTTAGTTAAATACTGTTACTTTATATTGTTATTTCATTGTCAGAAGTGACTCTTTTTATCTTTTTATTTTTAATATGTCACATTGATCCAGAAATAGCAAAATAATATAATTTTGATGAATAGTGTATATTTATACCGTAGTATGGTATTTCTATTCATTTATATATCTATTTTTTTAAGTATTTTAATATTATAATTGTAATATTATTGCAAGAAAAAATCATGATTGAAAAAACAAAACTTTATGATAACACTAATTTACAAAGTTTTATATAAAAATATTTGAAGACCATTTTTAGGATTTTTTACGACGTTCAGCCCTAATCGGTCATTGAAATATTTCCATCATCAGGTCCGATTTGTGAAATATAAGAAAATATATACAATGTAGACAAATTTTATTAAAATTATAAAATAAACAGAAGAACGTTTAATTTTTTTTTTTATATTTGGATTGAGTTCACTTATCAGAGTTCAGAAGCATTCCTCTCAACATCTCCGATAATTTTTCAATTATCTCAAGTCTTAGTAGAAACATTCGCTTTGATCATATTTGACAGATTCAATATTTGGAAAGAAATGCAATATCTTAAAAATTAAAATTAAAAGACTATATCTTAAAAATTCAACCTAATGAAATTTCTTTGGCGATTATTTCGAACTCAGCGTTTCAAAATACAAAAAAAAAATGGTTATCCTTTCTTGTATTAAAAATTATTTAAATTTTGTAAACTGGTGTAATTATTACGATGTCTCAAAAATAATATCATGTATTTTAAAAAGTATATAATTAATTAAATTAGATAACTCTTGTTGATGTGACGTATGCTCTTATTACTTACCTAAATAGAAGAGATCACCTGTCATCAATTATCGCGTTGGAATAAAAACTCAGTGCTCGCGTATTTCCATCGTGCTTCCGCTTCAAAAGTCACGGCTGTTCCAAGTCAAAGGAGGCTAAATCGAATTAGCCGGCTGACACATTGACGTGTTTTGCATCGTGTATCGTCCTACAGTTGCAGCGGCCTGGCCGAACCCGGCATATGGGGTCACGCCTACGAGGTGAACGAAGGGGGGTCCGGATTTTGGCCGTCGATCACTTTTAGAGGCTCGGGGCCCGCACGCGCCATAGCCTGCGAAAATGCGCAATCCGCCGATTTGGGACGACGAGGTGTTCCCATGGGAGCACCCGATGACGATGAGTCGACCCGGGACGGCCCCCTCGAGGACCGCGACGAAATTGTCAAAACAAGGCAAACGCTGGGAGCCTTCGATTAGCGATCTCCGTCGACATCGGAGTCGAAAGTCGGCACTAACTTGGAATATGTAATCTATTATTTAAAGCCCGTTACGTCGATATGCTGCACTTTGGATACAAGACTCTGGGAGAATTCGATATCCTGATTTTAGGATTAGTTACGTCATAATTTACTTGATTTCTAAAGATTTCTTATATCTTATAAGATGCATTAGATCAATTACGCTAATTATAGTCTAACTACCCGACTTTTAAAGCTCATACTTTTCCGATTTTATTGCAACAATACAATTTGTATAAACTTTCCTTAATATGTAAACATTTTTGGTTGCCAAGGAATTATGTAAGTGCCGTTTTTTTAACGAGTCGTCCTCCTTGATCAGAGTCACAGTTGTGCCGGGGGTGGGTATAAGAGGCAAACGATATATATTTCGGATTATAGTCGCACGTTTTATTGCCGACACGATATTACAACGTATGCAAGTCTATAGCCCAACGTTTTGTGCGCTTCCGCTTTATTGTAATGTTTCGCCGGTGTAATGCAGCTGCAATGATCGCACGGCTAATCGATACGCGATATCGCTGCCACGTAATAGTTGCCGGCCGAACTGAAACCCACTGCTTTAACGTAAACTATCTACAACAAGTACAAGTTACGGTGTTTATGCCAAGTTATCTACGTGTACGTGTATATTTACAAACTTCCAGGATTTGCTATTTACTATTTACAATGCGCGCTATATAAAGTCGGAACTCTCATTTTTAAAAAGTGCTTAATCCGAAATCATCTTAATCACCTTATCTTTTTTACGTAAACGATCACTTAAGGTGTTTTTGCACCTCAATTAAAAATGTTATTAATAATATATTGTATTAATTATTTTTCGATTTGTTAATATTTGAGAACATTATGGATATGAGTTCATTCACAATTTTTTCAAAAAAGTAAAAATTATTAAAAAAGAAAATACGTTAAATGATATCCATTTTATAACAATTCACATTTTTAAGCTAAGATATAAAAACTTTAGGTATTTAGTCCTATTAGGTCAAGAGTTCATTAAAGTGATTTTTATATATTTTAGAAAATTTTAGAAAATTGGATGTGAAAATTGATAATTGGCTGAGAAAGCGAATTAAATAGGGAGAAAGCTAATATACTGACACATAATCAAGAAAATTAAGTTTTCAAAAACAGAAGAGAAACTATTCTTTTTAACTTAATAGAAAATAATTGACTAAGTAATATCAGCAAAAAAGATTTTTAATATGATTAAATTATTTTTATCATTTTCATTTTACAACTTTTAAAAAAGTACTCTTTTTGAGTTATATAGTAATGAGTTCGACGATTTTTTAAAGAAATATTAGATTATTTTGGCTAATTGATAGAGTAATGTTGGTATATTTATAACTCATATATTAATAACTCGAAAAAATCACAGTTTTTGAGTTGTGTCACTTTCAAAATGAGGAAGTGATTTTATAATAATTACTAAAAATATAAAGAAGTTACTTAAAACCAAGAATATCAGAACAACTTCATACTATTGTTGCTTATGCACAATAATTTGATTTAAAAGAAAAAAATATTCATTTCAGTGTGCTCTTGTCTGATCGAGCAACATGCACATAATGCAATAGATAAAAGTTATATAAGACAAAGAAAGAGTTCATGTTTATCTTCTTATAATGTTTCACATTTGTCATAGCCGTTTTTAATTTTTTGATTGATATTATATTCAATTTTAATGAGAACTCGACTTCATCTTATCACGCGTGCGTCTTACACCAGTGATCGATCTACCTCTATTTGTTCCTTTTATATTTTTCTGTCAAACATCCAAGTTTATCCGTTTGCGACGTTCACTACCTTCCGGAGGATCCGAGACCGGCTCGATGCGCTGGTACCGCAAAGGCCCTTAGACCACCCCCGACCCCGATTTCCACCCCCATGCCGGCGCCCAAAGGCGGCTGTACCTGACCGCTCAAATTTACTGATGTATTTACTAGTCCCAAAGCATCGCTCAACACCGACGACGACGCTCCCGACGAGGATCCACCCTCGCCCGAAGTCGGTCTCGCACGCGGTGCTCTCGCGCACTTCTCCAGATGATGATGATGCGATCTGACTGCTAAACGGCTCACGTGAACTGGTATCGGTACCACAATTCTTGTACCGGAAGTGTGTTGTCCCGTGGCACCATTGTGGCGTCCAGAAGCACTGGAGGCCGTCATGGCTGCCGCCGCCGAACCGACGCCGACGCCTCCACCGCTCAGTCCGGCCTTCACTCGTTTCCATTTGGCACGTCGATTTTGGAACCAGATTTTCACCTGCGCCAAAGTTATACATCATCGATTTTAAAGTTGTAATTTCTCTTAATAGAAAGAAAGAAGTTGTAAGAAGTTTGTATGATAATGCAATTTGGTATAAATAAAGGAAAAAGTTAAAATGTATTTAAAGACATTGGAGTCTGTAACTAGACTTGGTGGAATATAAGTTTAGGATGCTCGCAAGATATCCGGATTCGATCTCTGGCCAAGATAATATTTTTTACAATATAATTATTTACAAATTTTAATATATAATTCAGCATTATGAATTTAACAATGTAATACACATTAATGCGTCCAATTAAATTTATTGTGATTGATTTGTAATTTTGTTTAAATTATTCGAATTGATATGATGTGCATTTTCTAAGATTTTCCGCAATTTTTCCTTTTTTAAATTTTTATTGCTTTAGTAATTCTGGTATTAATTAGTATTATTGTGAATTATTAATTATTAATATATCGTAAATTTTAATATTTCTAGACTTTTATGTAAATAAAAATTAATTGATCAATTTAATCATTTGTATATTGTCACAAAAATTACAAAAATTCTGAAAAAATGCGTATTATGAAATTCAATTTTAACAAAATTACAAACTAGTTGTTTTGATTGCGCCAATAATTCTAATATTATTATTATTGCACGATTAATTATTAACATAATATAATAGAGAGCGCCCATAAGGATCGTTTAAAGTTGGAAATTTCGAATAATATAATATTCTTGGTTCATGAATTTAATTAATCTCAAATGTGACTGTGTGCGAAACGTTCGGACATTAAGCTGACATTAAACAATCAATCTAAGATGCTAATAATCGTGAGCCGAAACGTTCGAACAATCGGATTAATTATAAATTATTAATATTTTAATATTTCTATATAAATTTCCTCTACTTTAAGGAAAATTCGATTTTATTTGAATCCGAATTTATTTTATGATCTTATTTTATAACTTCTAATTTGCTCTTGATATTAAGATCTAGCTGTACGTACAGCTCATCGATTATCACTTTAGTTTGGCACTGACCTGCACCTCCGACAGTTTCAATGCGTGCGCTATGTGCGAGCGTTCTGTTAGGCTCAGGTACTTCTTGGCGTGGAATTCGCGCTCCAGCTCGAGCAGCTGTTCCGAAGTGAACGCGGTACGTCGCCGACGAGCTTTGTTGCCACCGGCACCTGATGCTGATGAATTCTGTCCATTCTCTAAAGGCCTGCTAGGACTTGGGGCGGCATTGCTGGCACCGCTGACGATGCCGTCGGAAATGTCATGACTCTCGCCGGAACCCGCAGCTCCGCCACCCTCTTCGTCGCTTTCGGCTGATGCACGACCGTTCTCAGATCCTGGAACATATAAATAATTATATAAATGGTTATACATTAAATGATTATGAGACACCTGTCAAATATAATCTTTTATTTATACATATATATACCAGCTTGTAATATAATTAATAGAATAAAATAGAAAGCATACTTTTGACAACGAAATAATGTATTGCAAAAATAATTTATATTACGTTTATATTTTGTTAGTAATATTCATTGTTCAATCGCTAATTACAAGGATAGATAATAAAGAATGTAAAAAATTTGCTTCTCAATTACCTCTATGATTAATCTATAACTGAGGTTTGTATAAGAGCAAATAATTGTATTTGGTATTTGAAATGTATAGTCGTCAAATAAAACTGCACAATTCCAAGGATTGAAATCCACGACTAACTTTCATGACATTAAGTCATCAAGAGAGTTTATCGCTATCGAGAGAACATCGCCGCGGTATGTATAGCCTGGCGGCTATTTAATATGCGGAGCAGATTGGTCGTTCCTTCATAAAAGTTGCGTTCTTCGATCGTCGACAACGTTTTTCCGTTCGTAATTTCCCGTACAACGTTTTTTTTCCCCCTTCATCCGCGAGACAGTTGAGCACGGCATGTAATATGCACTGAGATACGAAACAAAGTTACCACGGAGTTTGATGACTCCGTCGGTTCATTATTTATTGAAAATTATTCCTACAGAGCACGGTTATAAGTTCCACTCGAATGGCTCGTGTTCGGCTGATTCGACGATCGACTGAATGGGAACGGAAATTTGCGTCAACAAATGTCTACGACAGAAACATTTATCGAAGATTACTTTTGGTATCAAAGAATACTTTTATATAAAGAAAAGCAATCGACAATTTTAAACATTTTGTGTTGAAAATATCTCGGTTTTCGAAATAATTTTGAATAAGAAGACTATAATTTGTTCTCTGTAATAATTTCGAAATCGATTAATGCCACTGAGAAAAATAGTTTGGTTTGATTAAATAGTAATTCTGGTACAAAATGAACAAATCAGAATTTTCTAGTTAAATCTGCTAGAATTCTCTTGAGATAACTAGAATTCTGATTGATGTATATATTCTGGTAAAAATGAGAATTCTGATAGATTTACCAGAAATATTATATTAATCAGAAATTCCGGTTATCTCAACTAGAATTCTAATAAATTTAACCAGAAAATTTTAATTCGTTCATTTTCAACCAGAATTTTTTTCAATGTGTATCACAATCTATGTTATTTATATAAATGTAACAAAATCAATGCTATTAAAATAATGACTGTGTTAAAATAATAACTATAAACATGCTATTTGACAAAAAAAAAATTATATAAGATCCAACGGAGATAAATTAAAACTTATAGACGTGTAATACACATTCTCTCAGAAATGATATAAATAGAATCGTATAAGTTTCTTCTCGCGCGCTGTATTTTCTCCGCAACCGCACGTGATCAACATAACTTTTCCCACCGCAACGTGGCCAGGTCGCATGATCAAGAGCTGATCGTTATTTGCGGGCGCATTATTTCCTGCTAAAGTTCGTTGTCAACGGTCAACTCGGCTATGGTCAGCCTGACTTATTCATCGGCTGCGATTCGCGTCTTTCTTATCCGAAGTTCGCGGTCTAAACGTGCGTTTATGGCAGCGCGCAACTTTCCTCCATACGCGCGGCAGTTTGATGCACTCTCTAGTCGTTGATTTATTCAGAAGGTTTCGATTAGGCGAGCGGAACGCTTCCGCGAGCGTATACGGGCGTTGTCCCCTGCCTGTCGTCTTTACACTTCGCGCCGGAATCGAGCGTGTGGATCGATTCACGAGAACGATGTCGTTACATCCTCGTTTAACGGATCTCGGCATGGCGAGGCTTTTAAGCCACACTTTTCTAACGAATAGAATTATTGGAGCGAGTCTATAACCCGAAACTTAAACACGACATTGGAATTGATGGTTTTGTTTGTTTGAAACTGCCAATTCGACTTTCTTAGGGTGTGATCCACTTTACGCTGCAAATGCTTTAAAGCATTCTCTGATTGATCAATTCGTAAAACTTTTTCTTTTGACTAGTCAATGAAGTATTTGCAGTGGATTGCACTCGTAGTGAGTAGGTGAAAGCGACAAAAAATCGGTGAATAAGCATATGAGTCATAAAGAAAGGCTTCGTTTTTTTCAATTGAGAAAGGAACTTCTAATGAAGAAATAAAAAATTATATATATTCAGGATTCAATGAAATATGAATTAATTCGACATGAAATTTAAATTGTATCAAAAATTTCTTTTACTAGTTTAAATGATTGATTGATATAGAAAATATTGTAAAAGGGATATTGAATTTTAACTAAATATGTTAAAAGAGATTTATGCAACATTAAATAATTTTGCTGAATTATTATATGCAAAAAAATATCTATTGTGATACATTAGAAGAGAATAATACATACATACATAAAATTGATCAATTTTTAAAAAGTAGAATAATTTGATCACTAAATCGATCAAGTTGCAAATTTACCCGCCAATTACACGAATACGCAACAGATTAATTGGGTCGCGGCATCTTTATCGATTTCACTCTAAGAAAAGCTGTTGGTGTAAAAGTATCTGTGTTCAAAGTAATATTAAAATATTATCGATTTGCCGTGCACACATATACACATACACATACATCTAACAATAATCGGTTAAAATAGTTGGTTGTTCCATAGCTCATGTTTTATTTAACCGCTAGCAAGTGGTAATTATTGAAAACTGTCAATGACGGAGCAACCGGAAATCAAATCATTTAACGATCTTCATCACCGATTCATCGCCAATGAATCATCGGTCGTTCATGTCTAATTAATTTTCTCTATCTATTTGATTTTGCTGTTTCCATTTTATCAATTGCTTGTTCATTAGCTGATTTCCGACATTTTCTTCCTATTTGAGAATAAGAGAGAGAAAGAGAGAGAAAACAATTTTAATATTTAATATTAACCCTTTGTGGACTATATAGAATCTTCGTTTGGAGTCACCCCCTTTTGTTGTATATATTGCTTGTTCAATTTTTGTGAAATTTGGCTGAAGTAATTTGATATTGTCTTATTCAAATCTGAGATCAAAAATGATGGATTTAATATGGTAGACAAAATTTCAAAAAAATATAGTTTGATTATCATAAAAATCGGGTTTAAAGTATTAATTGTGATGTAACATTAAGTTTCCAATTTCGCTTTATTTAAAGCTCAATAGTACTAAATAAACAGTTAGTATACTGAGAAGAAGATTTCCAAACTGACTTTTAAACTCTGATTATAAACTCTACAACTCTACTACTAAATCCTCCTTCACAGAAATTACTATCCTTTTTCAATATGTCCAGGTTACATTCAAACTCAGAGATAGAATCAAGAATCTCTTAAAATCGATAATTATTTTTAATTTGAATTTTAAAATTCTAAATTGAAATTAAAGCGACTTCGAAAACTTTTAGGAAACAAGATCTTCCATAAATTATTTTGTTAAAAGTTACGAGTTAAAATGTAGCAATATATAATTATATAATATTTATAAACAATTAGAATTGTGAATTGTAAAACTTTTTGAAATTTTCTTTCTCTAAGCTTAAAGTTTTTAAAATTCTTCAATCATAAATTATTAAATTTCTTAAATAGATAAATATGATTTATTCTAAAAAATTCTTAGATATTGAAATTTTTATATTTTTTGAGTCTTTAAAAGTAATAGTTTTTTCTTATATAAAAATTATATAATTTTTATTCTTTAATCTTATTTTTCAAATTCAAAATTTAATTCAGATATTATGATTTTTATCATTAGTATTACTAATCTCTTTCAAGATTATCATTTTAAGATTCTTAGATCTTTTGCTATAAAAAAGTTTTATGACATAATAAGTTCATAATAGTAAATATAGGTAATTCATAATGATAAATATAATAATAATGAATACAATAATAGTGAAATTAATTAAATTATCTTGCTGCCATAATATTTCGCATAATGACCCGAGGTTTCGATCGATCGGCGGAATCGTGCCAATCTAGGTATTGTTGTTACCAAAAGCACTATACCTTTTTTTTTTGCGACAAGTACGGTGCGGTCCTTCACAAACAAGATGCGATCCTCCCATATCATGTCGAATGTGCCACAGGATCTCCGTACTTGGGCAATGAATAACGAAAATTCACGAACTGGGGAAACTGCGAGAAAAGCGAAAAAAAGTTCGAGGGTCGAGTGCTATCGTTCGAGTTGCAAGTATAGGTAGCAAATAGTGAGGAAACGATTTATGCATTTGCAGTAAAGTGCAATAACTCTCATTACACTGAGAGATTGTGAGAAAAAGACTACTTAAAAATTTATTTGTGAGGTACGATATTTATTTGACTGAAATAAATTTTTATTCAAATACGGAGAAATAAAATTTATTCTTGACAAATAAACTATCTACAATATTTTATCCTTTATAATTAATAAGACACACAAAGGATAGAGATTTACAACTAATATATTTCACGAAAATATATACTTCACAGAGAAACGTAGAATTATAAGTCTTCATACAAAATTTATATATAACCAATAAATGTCGAAGAAAATATTATATTATATGTACAATAATATTTACATGCGAATATTTCGATTATTTTTTGTCTTACAATCAGAGTAGTTTGATTATAATTATATCAACTGTAAATTTCTTTTCAAACCTTCTTATAGTTTTCTCCAACAAGAATCTATAATGTTATAAATTGTAAATCAGCGTTGAAAAATTAAAGGAAAAAAAATTGTGAAAAATATGAGACGCTTTACATGATATCAGATAAATACATAGTTCCATCTCGTTATATAGATACTTTTAGACATTTATATCTCCATACTTCGTACCTTTTTTGCTATTTTAGTAACTTGGTGATAAGGTTTCAATAGCCACGTGCATTTCTAGCCGTGGGGGAAATACGTCCGGCTTATTAAGCGTTAAGAAGGCAAGAGAGATTCGCGACCTCGTTC